TTCTTCTTCTTCTCTCTCTCTCTCTCTCTCTCTCTCTCTCTCTCTCTCTCTCTCTCTCTCTCTCTCTCTCTCTCTCTATCTCTCTTGTTTATCTTTTTTTATACGAATCTCCTATATACTCTTGAATATATAAACGAGCGGACGCATTAAGGCAATAGGGAAACAAGCATATCTCTAACCGCTTTTAGCTTGCTCAAAATTTACCTTTCACCAATAATGCAATCTGCTGCTGGACGGTTTGTTTTCATGGGTGTTCACGAAATGGGTGGGATTCTGTTGTACACTCGTGCAGTCGAGTGGAGGTAGTCAAGCACACAATTGATAACACAAACATGTATCCCGGCAACGTAGTAATTTATTCTGTAATTTCAACGACGACCTGTAAATTGGCTTTTCTTTATTTTTCCATCCACATTGTAGACCCTTATTTTTTAATTAATTGTTTTTAAAAAACTTCAAAAATGTCATTAAAAATATATTACTCGCTGTTAAGTTAACGATTGTTACTTTTTCTAAAGTAATTTGTTTTATGGGTTATATAAATTTGAGAACAATATCGCAATGTATTAAAAGAATTTATAAAAATATTAGTAAAGTACTGTATTTTTAAATTAATGAAAATATTTACACCAATTGTTTTATTATCGATTCTAATACGGAATATATTTTTCAGAGAGTGTCGTACGCTCTATAAATACAGAAAAACTACGATCACTGATAACATCCCATTTATTGCCACTTCCGATAATGTCAAATTGTTTTTATGCAACCAATTTATAAGGTATAGCGTAGACATTTTGTAGGAAATTTATCATATCTATTACGCTGTGTATCGGCAACAGGAAATATTTATGATGATGACAAACCTGTAATTTACTATACTAATCTCTGTACTACATCACGACTACAGAATAAAAATTGTAGAATGATACAGGCGAGGTTTCGTGCCAGATTAATATCGAAGATAAATGGCACATATGCCATCAAATACATTTATGTGCGTGTGTGGTCGAATGTGATGGATCTTTGACACTGGGCCGCGTGACGGAAATATAGACTATTTGCACTTACTGATAAAGCACAGTCATTCATTGTCAATATTCCCGGTACAATAGAATACAATCGTCGATACACACACACACACACACACACTGTCTATTTCCACTAGTGTCGACCGCGCCGCGGCAAGCATTGAGTCGCTCTCCTACTTCGTTCGTCCAGTCGCGAGATAAGATTACGGCAAAGTGGATTGTCTAGTGTTCCATCGTCCAACATCTATACGCGAGAGGTCACACGCATGCGGCGAAAGCAACGCGCGACCAACTGATAATTTATGTTTGCCAGCCGCTTGGACGAATAATACAATTCTCTGCTCGCGTTACCTCGTTTCTTGTTTTTGAGTCGCGATTATTCACCGCCCGAGATATATTGCTCCAGACATTCTTCGCACACGAAAATACCATTCGAGCAGAGAACCTCGTACTTCCGCCACGATAAGTCTTCCAGGGGACCTTTTTCCGGCAAATATGCCGCGGAACGATATTGCGACAACTGAAACGCATTTCGGCGCTTTAAAAACGCATGTTATTTCGGGAAACTCCGGAAAGTCGTTCTTTATTAGAAATGTTTATCCCAACAAGACGAAAAATTGAGAGCTTAATTCAGCATCAAATAAAAACAAATTCTTTTCCAGCGCGACAAGCGGAAGGCGCGCGTTGTGCTAAAAAGAATTAATTGGATCGCATTTCGTTAGGAAAAAACCTAGACCAAAAAACCCTCGGCGATACGAGATGCGCTCTCTTGCTTGTCGGCGTTTATTAATTCTAGCAAATTATAGCCTGCCTCTTTTTACACGGAACAGAGACACAGTGCTATTTTCACGACATAATGCACACACGCACTATTAACGTAAATTAATGTATCCGACTTGTTATTTATGTCACAATTGCCGTCACTAACGGATTAAACATTTCTAAAGTTTTATCACGATGCCTACTATTATCATTTTGCCTCTAGTTTTTGCGTTCGTGATAACTCATTTGCCATAATTTATACTCGAATAAAACGAAAGAACGACGAGGAAAATAATTATAATCCATGGAACGGCCGGAAACTGATGCACATCGCAGCGGCAATGAAATTATTTTGCGTTTGATAAATTTTGTGAAAATAAAAGTAGCAAAAATGTTGTGAAAAGTAAAACAACACAATTGTTCGAAAGATTAAAAGAGCAATTATATTATTGTAAACTAGCAATTATATTA